CAGAGTACTGATGGAATTTGGTTGGTACCAATAAAAAGCTAAAATTTGGTCGCCATCCCTACTGCTGAATACAAAAATGAATCGGCAAACACATTAGCCGAGAAAATGCAAAACAAAAACAAGAAAAGCTAATATCGGCCTAAATGAACTGTCAGCCGATGTATCGGTCCATCTCTACTCCATTTCATTAAGTGTAAAGAGTCCGAATTATTCACAGTAATAAGATTTTAATCAATTAACACCAAAATATTCCTTTTTTAATTTGAACTAAAATATAAATGCTGTAGAAAACTACTGCATTACTGAGGTGTAGCCAGCAGGGGTCAGCAGAGCACCACCAGCCTGCTGAAATCTAAAACCTCATCTGTTGATTTCACATCATTTTCCATCTCTAAAAATACTCAGTAGACTTGAAATCAGAAGAATATTTATTACTGTTAAAATGGAAAACAACAACAGAATAAAGAGCTCCTCATTGGTGAACTCAACAAACCCGTGTCCTGAAAAATGGAGCTAAAAGTAACGTCCTGAACTCAAGAGAAAAACAGATTTAAGAAAATGTATGTCAACCTGAGGTAGAGGTGAGAGAGGGGGAGCAGAAATTCAGGGAGAAATGTTACAGCAGCATAGAGCGATGATATCAACCACAATTAAAGCCTGGCATCAGTTCAGAGGAGGAATAAAATCACCACTTCAATAACAGCTTAAATACGTTATTATAGAAGTTGGTTGATAACTCAATCTTTTAAAAAAAGACAACTCTGTTTCCTGATCACGTGAATCGCTGCTTGCTTCTGTTTGCCGGATAGAAACAGAACATTTAAACGGAGCCTGGAGCTGTGAGTTGCTGTTGGCCCAGATTTGCTGCGTTCACATCGTCTCCATGTTTCTGCAGCTCTCAGCACAACATATGCTCAGCACAGAATCCTCTATAAATAAATAAGAATTATCCATCTATAATGAGAGAAGATCAGGCTTTTCTTCCTCATCGATGTTTGATCTGCTGCCTGTCATCTTCAGGGCCGGTCCAAGGTTTTACAGGGCCTAAAGCAGAGCTGAGATTTTGGGCCCCTCCTCGCCACCGTTAGCAGGTATTTAAAGGGGTTCGTGGAACCTGAGAGAGAGGGCGGAGCTTCAAGCCACCAGAGCTGATTGGTTGTTATCAGGGACACAGAAGATTTCACTTACAGCATCAGATTGTAACTATGGTAACAAAACAATCTAATGTTTCAAAACATTGTTTGACATTTTTTATATAATGCATTCAAATCCAAATTCAATCATTTTAAATCTTTTATTGTATCAATTCAACACTACTAAGTCCTAGGGAAGTCATATTTAAATGGCCAATCACTCTGGATTAAACATGTATATAAATGTTCTCTTTATCAGACCATATTGTCCCAAAATTTTGAAAATGTCAATTTAAAAATAAAACCTGCCTTATAATCTCTGGGGTTTTTTCGTTATCTTCTGCAGGCCAGTTAGTTACACGTCAGACTGAACACCTAAATTCGGCCAATCATATATCAACGGTCATCTGATCTTGTTTT